CTGGTGAGACTCACCCAACTTCAAAGAGAGCAACTTCTTCACCCAACGTCTCGTAGCCCTCGTAGCACCTTACTAGCAGCTCGTAGCACTACTAGCAAGAGGACGCGACGAACCGAAGCCACCCCGAAGCCACCCAGTTACCCAAGCAACGGGGCGTGACGTCCACCGAGCCGTTGCGTGAGCTGGCGCAGATCCACACCATGGGCGTGCCACGATGGAGCCATTCCACCACCGGGAAGCGGACCAAATCCCCAAAGGCCTGAGGCGTGACATGCCGAGAGGGAAGGCTTCTGGGGAAGATGCGGTGTTTCGCTTCGGAAACGTGTTTTTGTTGTTGTGTGTTGTACTTTTCGTTGTACCTTTCGTTGTACCGCAAGGGCTTATATATGGTTCTGCCGATGGAATTGGGCAGAACCGTGTTCTGAGATATGAGATATGATGTGTTGTGCTTGTGTTCTTTCCCAGTGCCACCTGCACATCCATACAGCTCAGGATCGAATCCGCCTCATGCTGGCTTTGGGGTGTGGGCAGACACGAAAAGGACACCACCAGGGGTTGTAGACCTTCACAAGCAACGCACATCTTTGGGATTGGGGGCTCCAAGTGCAGATCCAAAGGACTTCAAAAGGGAACGTGAGCTTACAAAAAAGGGCATCGCTACTAGTAACAAGTGCATCGCTACTAGTAGCTTCTTGTGACTACTATAGTAATGCCCTTATTAGTAGCGATGCCCTTGTACATGAGTAGCCTCCTTCGCTACGAACGGTTCGTGGGACGGCAGAGATCCGAAGAGGCAGTTTGCCATGTTTGCCGGGCCAGTTTGCCATAAACTTGACTTTCTTCAGGCAGCTTGTGGTCTCATCAACCGAAGATTTAGCATCCCTCACCCACCCAAACATCACCCAGTCATGACATTTTCCAGCAGGGTGGTGATGGTAGCACTGGTAGAACAGTACTAGCACTGGTAGCAGGGTGGTCCGTAGCATTGACCGTCTGGGTGTAGCAGGATGGTCCCTTTCGGAGCACTGCTGGGGTGCCACTTTCACTCCAGGGTGCCACATCCACCGCCACCCACTTCTCGGCTGATGCGTCGTACAGCTCCGCCCAGCAAGTGACCTGCGAGCAGATGCGTCGTTGTCAGCTCAAGTCTCGTGCGCCGGGGATGTGAGGGCCAGGGTGAACATGAACAGCTATGAGAAAGTGTGTAAACAACACATATTTCCCAGAAGGAGTTGCACATTTCATAACATCGAATCTAGTGATCCTCACCTGGTAGGTGGAAATAATATCCCCCGGCCCGACTCCCCCAATAGGTTATTCCGAAGACATGGGGGGGGTCGGGATATTGTTCGTCCCATGGCAAGATGCGACAGTCTCCTTGAAACTGACTGTTACTTATATAATAAGTAATTGATGCTGACTGTTGATTGATAACCCCCTTGGTTTTGCATATATAATTACTGCATCCATGATAGCTTTCTTGATCTGGCATGATTCATCAACAATCAACTTAGAGACCCTGTCAAGAGCATGTTGCAAATCCTACCAGGACCATCCTGGCTGGACTACCCAGCCCACTATAATCCGCATCTCTCTCCGAACAGGATAGGCAAACAGCACTCCCAAATTCAGGATGGTCCAGGTATATAGCGCTATGCAGTGACTGAGACGGCTTGTGGATGAGACGAAGAAGTCATTTCGACACCATATAATATATAATATAATGGGACGCCTATCAGCATTAGGACCTGAAAGGAACATAGAACAAGTGGGCAGTGAGTAGTCTAGCTCAAAAGCGATGACAAGTGGAACAGTAAGAACAAACACGGGAACCACATGTTTTGAGATGTTTTGAGCCTTGATTTCAAAAACAATCAGCCAGGCTGCACTGAATTCATCAGTGTCTGTCTCCACAGGCGCATCCGCGGAGCCTGATTCAGTGTCTGTCTCGACGGCCGGACTACACAATGAAAGTAGTCTGGCTCTCTCCTTCTCAACTGCGCTCAAGCTCATGGTACACCTACAACACTATAAAATTACACATAACTATTACACTTATAGGCTGAATCGACATGAGCTTCTTTTGGACATTCTGCTTGGACTCAACAGCAAAATCAAACGATCTGTTTGTTTGCCTCGTGTGGCCCACATGGGATCCACTTCTGTCTTTGGGTGGCATGTTCTCGCCCACGCACGTTCTCTTCCAAACCAAAGGCCTAAGCCTTCATGAGGTTCTTTGCAATCAGAATTTTATACCAAAATCAAACTGGAAACCACGAAGATTAATGACACGAAGACCATAAATCCATATTTCATAGATCTCTTCCTGGGGCTGACCAGCAGCAGTCCTCAACCCACAACTCAAAAGGCGGGAGCAGTTGGACGTGATTTGGAGCAGTTCTCCCCTGTTTTCTTGGGGTTCTTGGGGTGGTCCACGGTGTTCCATGCTGTGTTGCATACCAAAAGCAATGGATACCATTGAAAAGATCATGCAAACACAGCCGATGTCACCCGGAAATCCCGAGGTTCGCGGGGGGTAGTCAGTGGTCAAAAATGCATTATGCTAGACCGCTAGATGTGGTCATCCTACAAGAGCAAAAATCACCCGCAACCCACTACAAGAGAGTGTTTCGACCCTTGCACCAGCCTGGCACCTCATGTGGTCGGTTGACAATGCTGATGAATTGGACCATATCCCTATCCATCCCTGTATCTCCAAAAGTGCACTCCCTCCAACCAATGCTCCATCCTTTTCCCCACCCCACGCCCGTCACCGCCACCGCCCGTCACCGGCCTGTAGCACCTCCCTGCCGCAGCCGAGCTCCTGGTTTTTCACCCACGCTGGACTCTAGGGCCGTTGGGTGAATGGTCCACTTGACTATGGTTGAGTTTCAGTTGATGGATGTCAGTGCGCAGGCACTGGGCATTGAAGGGTGGATTTGATAGTTGCCCACTTGCATGATTGTTGCAGGAAGGGTAGACATCAATACAACATAATACAGTAGTTAAGTGGTCTGCGAGGTGAACTTAATTCCGGTCAACAAAATGTTCTGACGTGCCCCCGACCAACGCTCGCAGCCGAAATGGTGAGTCTGCTCCGTGGGAATGTGTCATGAAAAGCATGCACATACCTCGACCTTCCAACTGTGCGAAATGTCTCCCTTTTCATCCACAAAACTAGACCACAGAAATACATGTTAATAGCATGTTGATGCATCTTATGGTTGGAACAATCTAGGAATCTACGTATCTCATAGTATCTCACACATTCCATGTGGGCCCCTGTTCAAACACCCCAAGATCGGCAAATATGCCAGTCGCATGGAGAACACTCCAATGGCACATCATAGAACCCCATCTCACCTCGTGTTTGATCGTTTTGATCCCTTTCTTATCATTTGGATCAAGTCGTCTTCTGGCCTCCAATGGTCTACACTCGCGTATCTGCTACTCTTGACAGACTTCTTTGAGACATGTTGAGATGTGTTTCAGTGCTTAGTGCCACTCCCCCCGTTGCTCCCCGCACGCACAGACTGGCGCCGAGTAGTCAAGGCACCGCAGGTGCCACAAAAGGCGCCAGTCTGAAAGGCCTCTGCCGATTGATGGCCCAACTCGCGAAGACGCACCGCTTGGGACAGGAAGCACCGCTGTTCGGCCCTTTTTTTAGGCCTAACTGAATTCTACAAGACTCTTAAAGTCTTGGAGGAACAATTTAATATCTTTGACAACGACCAGTTCCTTACCAAGACCTTCCAGGAGGTAGTGGTTGGACAAAAAATTGCAGGTGGGGCACCGGGCACCTGTTGACGAAACACGGAGTGGGTGGGGAGATTGCTTCCTTATCCAACTGGTCATGATCATCCCAGTAATCATAATAGATATTAATAAACTTGTAAATGATAGATATTTTGTATGAATGTGATTGAATGTATTAGAAATGTAAAAGCCCCCTAGCAGAATGGTTCTAAGTTCACATTCATTCTATATAGATCTTGATAGTGCAAATTCCCCGGTCTCATCCCACACTTCGCCATCTCGCCCTTCCGTCGGCTCTGGCCTCATTGCACTTCTCACACGTCACGCCACCGCCCGTCTTCCGTGAGGACGTCGAGCGGCGCGTCGACGTCGCGTCACTCGTCTTCCGCGACTTCCGAGGGGTGTGGAAGGGCACCGTGTCCACGATCAGCTCCATGGCCCGCTGGAGGCATCGCTCGGCGCCCACCTGGAAGAGGTTAGGACATGTGTCGTGGGGAAAACCGGTAAAATGGCCCGGGTGCGGCAAATGAAGGGAGAAGAACATGAGCGTATCCAAAATGAGCTTGTAGATATCAAGAATCTTCCGTAAGCTGATGGATTCGCTTTTTCCATCGAACCTGCCATGTGAACCTGCCATGGCCGCCATGGCCCTGCGAAGCCCGATCGGTTGCGGCCGCCGATGCGGGCGGAATCAACACGTGGAGGAGCCTCGACATGTCTGTGGGTGCGTATGTTAATAGGGATATCATCACAATATATCACAATTCTTTTCAGGACCCCCTCTTTGGTGTCTAAATATAGCTCCTTAGAGGTGATTCGGGGTGTCCAGAAACGCCACCCGTTGTCCCTTGTGGGTCCTGGTAGACGGTCGACATGTCTTTGAACTCTTCCGAAGGGTCGCACTGGGAAGGTCTTCCCCGAACGGAACAAGGCCAGACCTGAGGCGTCCAAGACCCAGATGGGTCCAAGACCCGAAGCTTTGTGCGGATGAAAGCACCCAGCCCTTCTGAAGGATTCCAGACCTGAGGCGTGGGGTTTACCCCGTTTCCCCGCACCTCAGCCTCGGCCTCCAGAACGACTTCCACTGCCTGGAAAACCAAAGGCGCCTTTTAGGGAACATCCTTCTTGAAGGGGAAGATGTTCAATTCAATGAACAAAACAAACTGATTGAAACATGATTCAACTCATGTCAACCTTTAAAGGTTCAGTTGACCCAACACTTCTGGTCAAGGCCCATGCCCATGGTCATCCAAATGGTGCTCTTTACAGGTTTGAGCTGTGATGAAAACAAAAAGTGCTCAGCTGCACGGCGGTGCGATAAATTCATCAAAGAAATTGGAAGGATGCTACCATCCGGACAACCTTGTGAACCTTCTGAGCTTATGAACTTCTGATTGATGGATTGATTGATGGTCACATTGATGTCACTTCCAACGAGCGCTCTCTCGCGCGGCCGTCGCCTTCTCTTTGTCGAAACCCATTTCAACCATCCGGTTGGCGGCTTCGCGTGCCGCTCCTGATCGACCAGTGACCGGGCGCCATACCCAGTGACCTTGTTGTAGGTCTGACCATGTAGGTCGGACAGCGCAGGGAACGTGGCTCGACTCGTTGTGGTTTCCGAAAGAGTAAAACTCCAGGGTTTGGGGAGGTTTGAGTCACCTTCATGTCTGTTGGACGCAGGGTTTATGATAGTATGTGAACCTAATTGTGAAAAGAACACAATATGAATGTGATGATTTGTATACTCAGAATGATTCTTTAATGTTTTGTTTATCTCTAGTATCTCTCTAGTCCAGGTTGATGAAAGAACTTGCCAAGTTAAAAAATAATCAACGAGCCATCCATGCAGATCGTCCAACACAGGAGAGGCTCTTATTACGACCAACTAACAACGCTTGTTACTATATAAGTATACTATATCTGATTACCAAATACTACAAATCATTACCAAAACAGTTTGAAATGTCTCTGTCTTGCTAAAGCTAACTGCCTAAGTTTGGGAATGAACATTGCCAACCCTTGCTTGGTCAGGGTGCCCATGAAGGTGCTTGCTCAGGGTCTGGACATGACGGAGGGATGAAACCACCTGTGACCGAACAAAACCTCAGTTGGTGTATTTCCACTGTGGATCCAAGCATGTTTGACCCAAACCCACGGGTCAAGCATCTGCCATTGGCAAGGCTGGTCAATGCTTGTCATATGGGCAGGATTGTCATCAATGCGCTCAGCTCCGTTTATCAACTCAGTCCTTCCAGTGGAAGCTCTTCATCTTCATCCAGCTCAACGGCCTCCGCCGCCTCCGCCTTCTGCTCCTGAATCCCAACCACGTGGGGTCGCACATGGGCTAGCCGTGGCAGCGTGGCTCAGGGCCAAGGAAACAACCATATACAACAATCATATATGTATATATACATTATGTATGATGTGTATGATGACATATATAATACAAAACATGCAGTTTATTGATTTAGATGTTATATGTTCAGTATATGTATATGCAAAGTGGTGGTGGGAGATCATGCCACAGCCATCAACAACCCACCTTCCTTGCGCCAATCCAACAGCAAAAGACATACCCCCTGGGGACCTCTCGCCCAAAGCCGGGACCTCGCGCCATCTTCTCTTACGGCTCCTCTGGACTGTCGTGCTTGACGGATCTCGGCAATTTCTGTGGCTCTTTCAAGTCGAAGGCCAACACCAACCTGGCCGACCTGGGTTTCAACTTCGCTTGCTACTTAAGGCAAAAATACCCAAAGTGCAGGGCTGAGCTCAAAATGTATTTGTGAAGAGCACTATGAGACAAAATGCATCCTGCATCCAAGCAACCAACTGCCTAGTGCATTGCATAAGGCCACAAAGCACAAAGCCAACTCCAATGGCCTGTCATGCCAAGTTTGAAAAACCTATCCGTACCTAAGAAGGGCGGCTGAGTCTATGAAACCTGGGGGCCTCAAAAATTGTAAGCTACATTTTTTGGGGGGATCAGCATCGGCCATAAGTGCAGGGTCAAACATGTAAGCTTACATGTAAGCTTAAGAAAGTCTCAGACATGTAAGCGTACTGTTTTGATTTCAAACCTCAATATTGTAAGCTTACATGTTCATACATGTTTGACGTCGATAATGGTCAGCACAAAAACTCTAGCAAGATTAAACAAAACCAATCAAATAAAAGCTTCATGATGTCTCATGAATTCTAAGCCAGCTCAAAGCAAATTCATGCAGTTTCACGTTCTTCATCCCTTTTTCTTCCAACAAATGCCATGAAAGGCCCCAGCCCTTGGCGGCCACAGCCCCAAAGATCGCCACTTCCAGAGGCCAAAGGGGTGCCATAAAGGAACCATTGCATGGTATTTGGAAGACCTCAAGCATGCCAGCTTACATTTAGGTTGCTGGCCTGCCAGCGCTGCTGGGTATTCTTGGGGGGGCATATGTGGAGGTGGGATGAAGGTCGCTAGGTTTTGCATGGATTTTTGTATTATATGATTTCTCCTTTGCAGCCTTTTTTGAAAAACAAACTGTTGAAAATCACATCAAGCAAGTCATGCATCAAACAGCCGCCGAACTGAGCCAAGCACCACAAAACATCAGAGTGACTCATCTGGTAAAATTTAAATGCTTGAGACACCAATAGGGGGGTGGGTCGAAAAATGTAAGTTGCCGCGTTCCAGGTATTACGTTACATTAAACCACGCCCTCTCCAAAGTCACTATCCGCAAACTGAGAAATCCCCATGGAATCCTGGGGATTGTTCATCACATGATTCACCATCCATGGGGGATGGGCGGGGTAACATACATTTATCTCACTCCCCTTAAAACAACGTAGGGGGTGGGGTAACATACATTTATACCCCCCCAGAAAATGTAACTTACATTTTTTGACGTCCCCCCCATTTTCCTCAGCTAAGAGGGTGGGGACAAAAACCTAGGATCGCTCAGGCTCCCCTTGTCCCAGAAAAAAACAAAAAACAACCTACAGTCGACCAAAAGGATTTTGGCAAACTGCCGCAGAGTTCCCAAGAAAGAAAAAGCATAGCCAAACGTCAAAGCAACTTAATTTGATGAACGTTTCCATCAAGCGACCCTTCGTCTTGGGGACCCCGCCATTTACACCTTGGACATCTTTTGTCTTTTGACGTTATCCGATACCGTTATCCCAAAATGTTCCAAGCTAACATGCTGTCAAGAATCCTCTTGTTGGATCACATATATATTTGTTGAGACAGACCCAAACAGTACTAACCTGAAAGGAGCAAGCACTATTAAACACGCAAAACATGTGACATGACATTCGCAACCAAAGTCAGGATCATGAATCAGTCATGTTGCATGTCTAACTTAAATTATTTAGCTCTATCAGTTTCAGGAATCCAACAGTTAAAGCTTCTACAATTGGACGACGTGTGATTTGAGTTCTATTGAATGATTGTTTTGTCTTGTATTACTTGCATTAGAACAAATTCACATTGACATGCATAGCTTGCCCAAAAAGGCCGCTGTCGCCAATTCCGGGGAACCTCAATGACACCGCACCAACTTTTGAAAACTCTCACCTCTCACAAGCGTGAAGCCAGGTTCAGTCGACCCTCTACCCAACATGGAAGTGGAAAATTGCTCCGTGGAAGGACGTTTGTAGAGATCCGCGAATCCTGGAACCGAAACTGGCTGTACTTCCGCGCCTCCCCTGCCGCTGTTGCGCACAGCGCACGGCCCGCGATAGGGGGCTCGACTGCTCGTTGGGCTCTGCCTGGGGCCGGGTGCAGTGGTGTCTGAACCAGTGGTAGCTTCTAGCTACTAGTAGTTTCTTGTTACTGTACTATAGACTATAGTAGTAATGGCCTCCAACCTACTAGCGATGGCCTCCAACTTACAGTATATAATAGCTTCCAGTTACTGCTACTAGTTGCCCCTGAACGTTGCAAAACAACCCCGAGCTGTGGAGCTGTTCCATGTTCTTCAGCCATCAAGACCCTCCAGCAAGGTCTTCAAAAAACCGCAATAACTCCAGACTTCAGAAGAGTTAAACCTCAGGAGCTTCTTGTTCCTAGTAGGGCTTTAACAAACCTGAGACCCTCCCGTGGGCAAGGGTGCTGAACGTTCATCACCCAACGTGTTGTCAACTCGTGAAACCCTGACTTCTCCACCGGTGCTGGGGTTTTTTCATCGTTCGCTTGACCAAATCACCAAATTACTGGACCCTCCAAAGTACCTTGGAAAATGGGACATGACCCCATCAAAAAAGACAATATATTTGTACCCATTTTCCAAGGTACTTTGAGACTCCAGGCAGTGACATAAAAAAAGAACCTTGGATAACCGGATAACCTTGGAAGGCCTGTGTATCTCGCCATGCCCTTGTCTTCCTAACTTCGTGCAACCTTCGTGTCTGTCGATTGCGATTGACAAAGAATTGCACTCCGTCGGTCTTGCGCTGCACTCGGAAAACGAGGCGTTCTTCAACAAAGAGGTACCATGAGAGCTACCATGAGAGGTACCAAATGGGCGGAGAAGGGATTGCAAACAACCTAAACAGCTCTCGAACATGAGGAAACCTCAACCACTTGGTCACCGGGTCTTCATTCTTCATCAACTCTCGGAGCAGCCGGCGGCTTTGGCAGAACAGTTTGTGCCTGTGCCCACCTTGCAACACAAAAACCCAGTGCACTCCAACTTGTTTTTGTCTTTGGGTCTTTGCAGGCCTTTTCCACCTAGGTTTGAAGTTTGAGGTTTGGATTCCTCCTTGGGTTCTTCTTTGGAACCATTGGAGACCCGACAAGATGTGGGATTCCTAATTCCTCCTCGAGCCTGGCCATCGCAAGTAGGTTGGAGGCCATCGCTACTAGGTTGGAGGCCATCGCTACTAGGGTGGAGGCCATCGCTAGCAGTAGCTATTTGCTACTAGCCTTATAGATCCACCCAAACACCATACCGCCATCCATCCCACACCGCCATCGAGTGAGCCATCACCCTCCCCAGATCTGCCCACCTCCACGTGGTCGAAGACGAGCTCTTTTCGGAAGCGGTCCAAGAGCTCGTCCGGGGTCCGAGCAGCTAAGCTGGAGGACCAAATGGAGAGGCAAACCTGCTGAAGGAGCGAAACGGAAGGTGGTAGGAAATGACATAAAGGGGCATTATATACCCATGGTAGAAAAAACCTCCCGTCCTTACCTGTTTGGAGGACCCAAGGAGTGGAAAAACGGATGGAAACAGCTCTCGGAGGGTCGGGCGGAACATTCAGCGGTCGGTTTCTTTTTGTCCATCAATCGAATTTGACGCCTATATATATATAGGGTCTAAATAGATCACTCCGATTCACTGACATGCAATTTGAAACGTTCTCTCTTTTCGAAAGGAAAGCTAACGCATGCTAAAGCTTTTTGCAGTAGTCTTCCAAAGGAAAGGAGAGAAATTTGTCAGTGAGTCAGAGTTCTAAAACGTTGGTCTCTAGAGCAGCTGGGCCTTCCTTGATTCGCTGCGGTATTTTCTGATCTTGGCATGCCCTTGCTGTGGGGGGCTGGCTGCTATTTGAGCTCTCAGATTCTTTAGACAACAAAACAACACAAAGCTTGGCCTCTGAAGGTTTTGGGCAATCCTGGGCAATCCTGCATTCCTTTTCTTTTGGTTCCAACATCCGTTTTGGATCGCCCCCCCCGCCCAGGCAGGTTTATACCTTTTTTTCTCAGGTCTGAGGGGCCCGCACCCAAGAGTAATTATAGCACAAAATGATACAAAATGTTTGGAATACATTTGGACCGTTTTCTTTATGTGATGAACTAGCATATCTATCATATGGATCATGGAAAAACAAGATGCAACGCCCGCATTAATCCATGATTGCTTGAAACATCCTCAAACGTTCACCTGCCTGAAAGCGATGTTATCTACCAGTCTTCCGGTTTTTTCTTGATGAATCATGAATCTGAGGAGAACTCGCTTCGTAAGTCCCCTCGGGCGCGCCCGTGCTCTGTCGGCCGCCCAGCGGCAGACTGGAGAAACTCGTTGCAACACACCTGCCATGGTCGGTCGACGTGGCCAGAGAGTCGGCCCCTGTGTCGTCGTGACGGACGGACCCAGCTGGGTGTTCCTCCCCGAGGCCATGAAGAAGGGTGCTACCCGAAGCGTGACAGCGTTTGAGAAACCCCAATTTCACGCGCGAATATCCGTGCATGCTGAGCTCCAGGCTGAATGCAGGTATCGAAGTCGTGCCAACCAACTCAGCAACTGCGCACGCTGAAAGGCCACTTGCAGATTCACAGCTGGACGCTCCGCCTCCTGAGAGAGGCGACCGAATGGTCTATTTATTTTGTCAGATCTTTGAATGCATGATTCTGCACAATGCATCACAATATACATAGAACCATCTACAGATATACAATGTGATCGAATTCAACCTGTGCATAGCAACAAAACCATAACTATCTCAGATCGACTCAAATCTATTCTATATATTGCTATTGTAGATATAAAACGTATGGGTCTATACCTGTTCTTCCTCACCTTAGTATTCTGAAGTGACACTTCTAGATCCCCCACATGTCCGGCTTAGACAACTACAAATGTCTCTGTCCCATCATCTCCCTCAAGACTCACTTCCTAAGTGGTGACGAATCTATCAGGGGTTGGACAAAATAGTGGACTTGGGCTTGGTTCGGAGGAAAAGTCTATAGTAATCGTTTTAATCCCTGAACGGTTGATCCCAAATCCATCCAGCTCAACAGGATCACCACCACACCTCCACAATCTTCGGCACGCCCGTCACACCGACTCGTGGCCTTTCTGACGCGGCTGCCACGCCGAGGCTGAGTGCCAGCATCAGCACTAGCTGCGCTGACAGGCTCATCAGGCAGCGCCAGCATGTGAGGGTTCCAGGGCAGTTTTGATGGCTCGTGCCTAAGACCTTCTGATCTGGGAGACTCCAGTGGACGCTGCCCTGGTGCTAGCGGTCTTTGCTTCAATCTGTCAGGAAACCTCACGTGCCCCCCCACCAAAAAAAACATAGAACACAGTGATACCCTTGTGGACCAATGTCGTGGAAGCATCCTAGTTGTACCGGGTTGGAAAAAACTGATCCATTTTTGATGCTGATGATGCATTAGCAACGGTCTAGATCCAGTGATATTCAGTGTCGTCCATAGCACCAGCCTGCGCTTACCCAACCTGTTTTGCACTTTCTGCATCATATTTTGCATCGCTTGGGTTGTGTTTTTGATCTTTTGGCGTCATCTTTTTGGTCTCTTTTGGGCTGCGTCCTGTTTCTGGTCGAGAACAAAAAAAGCATTGGATAGGGGTCCAGGTATCTGGTATTTCGAAGTGCAAAACAAGCGAGCGTTGGGTTGTATATCTTGTTACATCGAGCGTTAAATCAAAGAAACAGACCTTGATTTACATTGCGTGGACGCGTTGCCTAATACACTGCCTGGACGCGTTGCTTACGCCCGCGGGGCGTAAGCGATGCGGACCCTCAGGGAGCTCCGAGCAGTGGGACCGCGTTGCCGTCCAAAAGGTCGCGTTGCTTACGCCCGCGGGGCGTAAGCGATGCTCCTTGTTTTTTTGATTTTTGGCTACATTCAAAGCAAGACCATCATATTCAATCATGCCAGCATGGTCAAGTGAATTCAGGCGGTTCACACGATCTTGGCACTTTTTTTTTCTTTCCCTGTGTCTTATAATCTACTGCCCAAGCGGAAAGCCATCAAAAGTCTTGAATCTGGTGGGCACCCTGGCATCTCCATGCTCAGACTTGTATTCAGTGAGCTTGCTGAAGCCTCTTTTCCATTTTCGAGGAGGGGGGATGTGCAAAGCGCAGCAGGCCCTTCAGCACCTTGGCTTACTATTGTATGTTTCTTGTCATGAGTTTGGTGATGCCCCCGCTGGGCAACACAAGATTGGATAAGATTGGAGCTGGGAGTCGCCCTTTCTTCCACCAGCGCCCACCAACCCCAAAGACGAAAAACTAAGGAAAAAAAACAGGACACGAGGCACCTTGAGACGGGTCCGTGGATGTCACAAAAGGTTCGCACTCAGGAAGGTGGTAGGCGAACAGAAAAAACCGGGCTGTGGTTTCAGGGCCCTTGCCTGTCCCGAGGTAGTCCGCGGCTACCCTCATCACCCTTGCCCAGGAGATTTTGGGGCCATAGGAAGGTTATCCGACCCAACTCGTCAGGCGGTAGCTGGAGACCTTAAGCCTCGTTCGGGTCAAAGCCCGTGGGTGCAGATGTGTCAGTTCATCCGCCTTTGTGTGGAGTTCCCAAATAGAAGGGGCCAGCTGACGGCCCCGTTGGTTTAGGGATCAGACCAGTTGCACATCAAAATCGTTGGTGTGTGATGTGGCCCGGCTCAGCATGGCAAAGATGCTGTCCTGCTCACCTGAAATGAGAGGGATAAGGCAATTTTTATCCAGGCCGGGAGGGAACCGAAGGAAGTGCGGCACCAATCTTCCGGGCCTTGGCCAAATGGGGGCCGCCTTCTGGGCCTCCGGGTGGAAGACCTGGATGGACTAGCTTGGGTTTGGACCAAGGTCTTCCACCGCTGCCACCGCTACGTGAGATTTCCTGACTACGCGTTCTTTCGGTAAGTCCAACCGCCGCCTCCTCAGTGGCCGCCTCAGAGGCTGAGAGGGTGATGGAAGTTCTCAGTCAAAAGTTGCCGTGGCAATGCGCAGAGTCAAAGTGAAGGAACAAAGCTCAGAATGTTTCACAAAGGCACACTAGTGCCCAGACCTTTGAGCCAAAATGGCAAGGCATTTTGAGATGTATTGAAGAAACATTACCTGCTCTGCACAGGTTTCGAGCAAGTACAAAATAACTGGTGACTGATACAGTAAACACCCATGATTCTGACGTTCGTCAGCGCCGGACGATGGATGTCATGCAATGCCGATGTCCGATGGTGTGATGTTGTGATCCGTGGTTGGCTGCCCCGACACGCACGTTGATCTTCGGGGGGTGCAACTCATCTTAGTCTTCAGCTTGAGCCCCAAAAAAGCATTGCGACCATGATCAATCATCCCATCGAGTTCATTCAACAGCATCGTGAGTCAATGGAACAAAGGGCAAACAGCAGTGGATCCACAAAAGGTCTCACTACCTTCCAAACATTTCCAAACCCACTGATATACTGATTCAGAAAACCTCTCATATGGAGTTTTGCCATCCAGGTGGCAGGCGGAGGATTTGTTCAAATTTGTTTAAATCAACAGTCTACATGAATGGTCACATGTCAATATTTCCGAGCATAGTTTGAAACATTTGAGACTTGACTCCGAAGCCTGGAACATGACATGAAAAAAACAAACCCAAGAACACACGCCATTTGTTGCATCATTTTGCAATTGGGGCATGAAATGACCACAAAGCCCAAGAAAAACTATACAAGTATATACAAGTACAGTAGACATGACAATACACACTGGCATGCACTTGCTTATTTTATGCTCTCTACGAAATCCACTTCAAACAGCGGTACGGTACAGTACAGTACTCAGTACAGTATCCTCTAGCCCGCTTCAAACAGCAGCTTTTCTTCTGGAGAAACGCCTGCATGATAGTGCATGAATGGATCAAGGAGCCCAAACCATGGCACAACCAGCCGAAAGCTCTGCCATCCGCCCCTAAGGCCGCAGCAGCATGGCGTTCCAGCTGTGTGAGAAGTTGATGCCCGTCTCCTGCGCGTAATTCGCAGGAAACGTGTCAAGTATAGAAGTTCAGTCATGTCTAATTAGTCCAAGTGAGAAGAACTGCATCCAAATGTACAAAGTTCCATAAGTACGTAGAAGTGTTCCCACAGTCTTACAGCCTTGCAAGCGGCAAGCGGCAAGGCCCAAGGCCTAGGGCCTGGACCCGGACCCTACAGGCTTCAGTTCAAACCGTTCTCCTACGTGGCACACCACCATGGTCCTTCGTGGGTGCTTGGCGCACCACCAGTAAAGCCTCCCCCCCCTTCAGCCTTGCGCACCTGATGGGAGACACGGGGAGCCCCGTCCTGTGCGAGGATGTCACCCAAGCCTCTGGAGAACTCCAACATGTTCTGCGAGAGCAACTTCAGTGAGTCCATCTGAGCGGCCAGATCGGCAGGGTGAAGCGATCGGGTTTTCTATGGGTGAATGATGTGATGGTGAGTGGCGAATCAAGTGACTGGGGTGATTGGGGTGAGGAAGGGCGGTGATTTGGAATTCAGACTCTTGAAACGAAGAAGGGTGTGATGCGCCAAGCGTGATGCTTGGCGTGGTCTTGCAAGCTTCGATCGCTTCCGGAACGTCCAGTTTCTTGGAGTCTCTGGTATACCGGCAGGATCCACTACCTGGTTCTTCAAAGTGACCGAACTTGATAACCTGGTTTGAGGTCGCTTAAGCCTCCTAAGGGTCACTTAGGAACCTTCAAAAGGTCACTTTGAAGAAGCTGGTATATAGACTTTTTGCAGATTCACTGGCAAGCCCTGTGCAGCCAGGATTGAATAGCATCCTGCTTATCCAATAGAGATTGCAGGACAACCGGAGATTTGCATAGAACTTGCCGTCTACCTCCTACAACACTTCCCCTTTGGCTTGCGCCTAACAAGTCCTTCTTCCGTCACGGGCCTTTCAGTTGGGCCTCAATGGAGGTTGATATATATATATATATACATATACTCTCCCGGGAATTAACATGGAAGTGGATGGCACCACCTGTTGGTAGTGGATTTCATGGTCTTCCAAGGGGCCATGCCATCCACTTCCATGTTACTTCCAGGGAGTGTATATGTATATATATATATGTTCCTCTTCTTGCCGTCGCAGGACATCCTCCTCCCATCTCTTCCCCACGCCCGACGCCCAGTCGCGTTGTTTCTGCCCAGTCGCCCGTCTTTTGCTGGAGGCCGCTTCCTCACTCATCCACAAGACCTTCTGCTCGTCCTGCGCTCTGAAAAACAAAAAGGACCGGGATCTGATGGGAGGATCTGATGATCTGATCTGGCATCACTTAGGTTGTTCACGCACAATGGACATCACGCCGAATGGGATGTCCTGGTGTTCTTTCGCAGCATCCGAGGGGCTGAGGCGTTCTGCTTTCTGAAGCATCAAGAGTACCGTCAAGGGAACGCCAAGCAAAATGAAGGGTACTCTGAAACAGCGGTATGCAGGACGGCTCCAGTTTCCAGGCTGAACATCCCAATTACAGCCGTGTGAATGGAGATTGAAAAAGTCGTGTTATTCAGGGAAACAGGATCCGTCCACTTTGGTGCATGTGTGCTGCTAGGCCGACAATTGGTGCAAAACGCAATTTGTCCAAGAGAATGTTTACAATTTCTGCTTAATCTGCAAGCTACACTTGGGCAATGGGCAGGGATCACTGTATCAACGGCAACTCTTTGCCAACCAAAAAGTACCAGCGGAACCGGAAACAAATCTGAACCATTGAGCCATGTTCGGAACAAAAAACCTTGGCCACGGTGGCATCCACACCAGCATGGCTGGCTAACGCCGGAGCGTGTGCTGGCTCACACTGCGAAGGCATGGAGTCCATGTGTCGAGAACTGTCTGGTCGACTGCGTGGTATAGCCATAACATGTTGCTCACTAATGGGCCATCCACGGTCGACCAACCAACCAACCAACCAAGCAATAGGCATCCAACCAATAGACCTAGTCGGGGTATCTATCATCAACCAATAGGCCATCCATGGTCTTCGGTCCTGGTACAGCACCTGCTGCCAGAGCTGCGCCTCGAACTGGGAATCCGAATCAAAGACCTCGAACTGGGAATCCGAACGGAGAGACCGAATGGAGAACATCATGTCGCGCCATCATGTCGCGCACAAGTCTAAACCGGGCTCATCAGGGATTGACAGCGCTCATCAGGGATTGACTCCGGCCTTCATCAGGGATTGGCTCAGGTTTTGCGGATGCCTTCATGGATTTAAGATGATTTAAGATGTTTTTTGTGTTCAGCCAGCCGCTTCAGTAACCAAAAAAGGGAGGCAAAAGTGCACTACCAAATGGATGGTCGAACCTATAGGGTATGTGTAAAATGAGTAAACAGTAAACTATAAACCCTGGCACTTCATTTTGTAGTGCACTCACTGGTCACTGCAAAAAGTGGCAAACAAAGGTTGGACGCCGTATTATATAGTTGTTATACTCTCCATCATCTCTCTCTTCCATGATCTGTCTGCCATGATCCAGATCATGAACCGACTCGGCTTCATGTTTCTTCTCCATCTGCTGCTCTCCATCGGCCACCGATCTTCGATCCATGCCGGTGGCCTTTCGACTCTGCGTCTTCCCGTGAAAGGACCCAACCGTTCCCAGGGACCCGAACAAAACAAACGAACGAATCATTCTGATTTGTATTGACCGGAAGGGCTCTACCACTGTGGGATGTGGATATTCAACACCCGAGATACCCTATTATGCAACACCATGCAACACCGGAACTGGCCAATTCCGCCACAAGGTGGTTCTATAACAGGGACCTTTGCCACAACCAAGGGGCTGTCTGACTTGGTGGCCCAAGTGGACGTGGCGAAAGGAGGTGCGACTTCGGGTAACCCAAACACATAGACGAGTAACAAAGGGAATCTCAATCTGTTTGGCCGTGGTCACTGACTTTTGTTCACTTCGCGGCCAAACCAATGGCAAGCCGACCTCCCTTGCCATAGAGCAAAACCCTTCGTCTGCTTTCAACCTTTCGTTTGGTTCGTTTGGCTTGGCGTTTGCGGCACACCTGCATGGGTGGGCCAAATTCACCAGCCTGATCGACGGGTGCATGTCGAGACCATTCGAGACCAAGAGTTTGTCGGGACAACCGACAAATGAGGGAATTGGAAAATTAACTGACTGGACCCACTAAATGAACTGACTGGAACCACTAAATGACATGATTGGACCCACTAATAAAAGAACTGATTGGACCCACTATACAAATAATCTCTCAAGTGTGTTGAAATAGCTTGGTGTTGCTTACAGTGCGACGAAACACCTTGGACGCCGCAGCGAAATCTGTGACGGATGCCTTTGCCTTTGCGCGTCGAGTTTGTTGCCAGCGCTCCCAGCCTTCCATAGCACTTCGGCCTCATCAAAGGCCTCAAAAACAGATTCGGACTCTGCAAACATGTCCTGTGACACTCACCTATTACAAGTTCATGACCCCCTCAGCCTTTTGTCAGCAAGTGTCAATAGCCTCATTGCTTTGGAAGCAGTTTCCCGCCTGATTTGCTTCAAAGTTGCCATCATCAAAGTGGGAAAAGGGATGGTCCAAACAGTTCCCCAGTAGGCAAATACTGGCAAATTACACTCCCACTCACTAATCGGCATGGAAAACCCATTGTCCATAGAGCAAAGTAATTAGTTTGACCGGGCCATTTCCACTTCCATGTGATTGGGTCAAAGTGTAAGGCGCTCCGGGCTTAAGGTATGTATCACCCACCCAAACAAGGTCTTCAGAATGGGGACAACTAGGCTCAAGAGTATAACAACTGGAGCAAACCCGTCAAACCCGAAGCCATGAGAAGGACTTGGCTCCGTACATTCACGCTTTTTCGTCTAGGCCAAGTTCTTGGATGCTTTGGAGTCCACCAGGCTGTTACCACCCACCAGGCTGTGACCACCCACCAGGCTGTGACTACCCAGCCCGCCTGGCTCAAAAGCTCCGGTGGCGCATTGGCTTCGCAAAGGCAAACACCCCGCTTCTGGCGGAGCAGACACCGGAGCAGAACGAGACCGTAGCTGGTCCAAGGTTGGGTCGGGAGTATGTAGGTGCCGATTATCCACTCACTGGATGGGACTAACAACAACCCCTTTGTGTTCCTGGTATAATTAACATAAATTAATTAACGCTGAATTATGTAATGTTATGATATGTTATGTATATATAAATATATGGTCTGCAGATGTTTGCAGCCAAGTTTGAGTATATAATCGGTATATTATATATGTAGAATCCTGACACGCCAATCTCGCACCAGACTTAGACTCACATTAAAAGAGGGAAGCTGCACCAAGTTGCTCATCTCAAGATGAGACAACAAGCAAAACAGCCAACCTTCAAGCTTCATTCCCGGGATGACAAAGGCTCGGGCAGCGCGCGGAGACCCTGCATCATGCGCTTTTGAACACTGGCCGCGGCATCAGGCTGCCACGGCATTTCTGTTCACTCGGACTTCGAGTGAAGAATAAGACATGAGACGTGAGATCAGATAAGCCCATAGCCTTTCTCGTCTTTCGAGCAAGCAAATGTTTGCGACTGGACCGGAATTTGCGACTGGCCTAGCCGTTTGGAGCCGAGTTTGCACTGAATTGGACTGGTTTTGGTCTGTAGCCGCTGAGTAGTCTGCACCCATTTCTCGGAAGATGCTGCGGTGGAAGCCCACGTTTTCCTTCATGCATAAGGTCCGCGGCCGCCTTGCTGCCCTAAGAATTCTTCTCCTCTCATCCCGGCAGGACACGTGGCAGTGCACGTATGCCATGCAAAGAATCCACTGCAACACTCATGTCATACACTGGCATCAGACTATTGGACGACATGTGCGTGCTCGCACAAGAGATGCGCTTGTTGAACTCTCAGAGCTTCGCCCATCGTTCGACTTCCTCATTTCGCGTCGACGGGCGTTCGACTTCCTCAAGCGTTCTCTCGCGCACGCGAGAGAAGCGCGCTGTGACGAGACGAGCAGGCTGCCTGACAGCTGTGCTTCACACAGTTGATGCAGTTTCCAGATGTCTGCAGCTGTTTTCCCGCTGCGCATCTGGCCCACAAAAGGCCGGCCACGAGATAGGTGATGATACTCTTGAGGATCGGAGAAGGTCGAATTCCTCGAGATTGGAGCTTTGTCCTCTTCCCGCCCTGGGTTGAGGCGAGCATCGATGATCGATGAATCCTGGAACAAATGAGGCATGATGAGGCAAACACACGCAACAAACACCAGCTTCTTCGCTCAAATTGAAGCTAAGAACACAGAACACGCATGAATCAAGGGACACACGGCACCACGCGTTTCTTGAGAATCAACTCGGATTTGTAGGAAGCAACCCGTTCGGTGACGTGGCGACCAGCCCGGCCCGCGTGGTTGTACGACCACACCTTGAGGATGCGGGAGATCTTCTCCGCAGCCACCACGCCATCGGTCTCCTCCTGAACATGACCACGACACGACGAACGCACCGGCCACGGTCCATTCATACGGAAAAAGGGACGCCAGTCATCCGGAAGACGAAAAGGTTCTTAAGACATGCTTCCCTTTGGAAGTCTTGAGAGGTTTTGGCAGAGTCAGCCTACCCATGCATGGGTTTCCAACGGGGGGTGCAAAAGACCTGCTATGTTGAGTCGTTTCCATAAATGACCTCCTCTTCGCGGAATTCGATCATATGTGCAAACATTAAGCATGCACAAAGGAGACCTGAGAATAACATCTATAGACATGCCATCCGCACCAGCAAGAACCCGATCTATCATACAGTCTCTAAGTCAACGGCCATCGCACTGGGTTTCATGTAGGATGCAATGCATCAAAGTACCCTTTGAGTTCGAACATACTCCTGGACCGGACCTAACCCCTGGGTCCTTGAGTATAGGTCCGTCAGGTGTTTGTCGGCAAGTTTCCCATGGTGACACGTTGGGAGGTGCTGCGCGTGTACCGTTGTTGTTCACCAAAGCGTTCAACTCTCCAACAACAATGAGTGGCCATCGACGCCCGCCATCGACCCAATCGGCCGGAACATGCCGCTCGGGGCGGTCGGCGGGCGAACGGTCCGACCTGCATGAGGATATCAAACTTGTTCCCATCAGGTCCAGGACCATGGGAGATACCCAAGTCCTGCATGAGATACCATGGGAGTTGTTTGCTGGATACGGAGATACCCAACTCTGATCTCACAGAGCGCACGCTCTGTCAAATAGCATGACCACCCAATGAATCTACCACGCCACCCTTGTCAGGAACTGGAATTGTTCAATAGACTCAATGGGTTGGTTTCGGCTATTTCAAAAAAACACCAAACCCAAACAAAACTATGCTCCCATATGCTCGGGCAGGCTCGAACTAGAGCTTAAGGGCTTTAAGTACATGGTCCAAACTGGAGACCAGTGGTGTACAGTTGTCCAGACTGGTGACCCAACTGGTCTTGGACGTTCTCAAAAGCTTCAATCACCCACATGATGCTGTCTTCAGACCTATTCCCATCTAATCCCAACCGTCCATGTCAAGTCGTTCGTCGCTCAATCGACGGCGGTGGACGGAGCCTGTTAGACAGGAGATCTCGGGGCGGACTGGACCGAAGTCGGACGGACCGAAGGCGGACAGGACCAGAAGCTAGAAATACAGCTTGTGATCCTTTGTGACGTCAACTTCACAGGTGTGGCAACCCCCAAAATAGCACTGATACACCCATGTTTTGATGTAACAAGTGCACAAGGACTGCTTTACCAACATTGACCCCATTTCACCCCCTTCCCAGTCTCCCCTTGTCTTCAGCCTTGTCTTCAGCCAAACGAACTGCTTCAGTCGAGGTGGTGGTTTGAATCCTGCTTCCGTCGAAAAGCCGAATCTTCCGGACTCTTTTGACTCATTCCGTTTGGCTGGGGCTGGGAATCCAAAGCCATGATCATGTGAGGAAAAATCAAATCAGCTGCATGAACATGCCATAACATGCTAATGAAAGTCCAAGCTCGTGCTGTCTTGTTTGTTTTTGCAGTGTCCTCTTTTTTCCCATGGCGAATCACCACTTTGAACGAACAGAAACAAGAGGGCCAAGTGATGCATGTCTCCAAAAACAATCGGTTGGAATTCAAGGGATTGAGACTGTTTGGAGTACTTGTAGCACAACAGAAAACTGCCTGAAGCCATGCATAAGAGCCTAAATGCTGTCAGAAACAAGCTGCCAGTCCGGAGAACGTGCATTCGTGTCTGGGACACAAGGGCACATTGGCCGACTGAGTGGTCCTTCGGAAAGTCGATCCTATTGAACGGTCACTCTCTATTTGTAGCCAAGGCTAAGGATCTTTGACCTCATCGCGCAGGAGCTCGAATAGATCGAGACTTGTGCTCAACCGCTCGTCCGCAGGTGCCCCGGGCTGAGAAAGATGAGAATCCCTGCCCTCCCAGCCCCCTGGGCCCCGCCCCTGGACCCCCCAGTCCCGGTGGCCAAGGCTCTTGGCCGTACGCGTCCTGCTTTCACCATGTTTTGGGCCACGTACCGGCTCAGGTTTGGGGAACCCATCCACACCGAAATCGATGTTCCAAAACATCCCATGAATCGTCACGGCCAACGACCCTCGGTCGCACCCCCGGGCCGTTTGACCGGTCAGTCCTATCGACGAATCGTCCGGTGTAAGTCCCAAGGCACGTCCTGTGGGATGGGGAGGACCGGGACGGCTCGGTTCGGCTCGGTTTTCTTCCGGACCATTGGGTTCTCACGGTCCGTTGTTCGGCTGTCACGGCGCTCGTTTGGTTTCAATGGTGCTTTTTTCTGATAAGATATGTTCAACAAGTATTATATAGAAATCAAAAAAAAAAATAAGTTAGACATATTCACAACATTCACCATGCTTATGTCTCATATACTCGACTCTTCATAATTTGACAATGGATGACAATATTGGTATGAAATGACATCTTTCAATCATTGGACAGTACAGTTCCCTCAACTCTCCCTTCATCGCTCAAAATTTCTCCACCTTGACCCGCAACAGAGTCTGCTCCTCTGCTTCTGCCTCCTCTTTGACGAGGCGTCTCTTTGGTGCCTCAGGTGGCTCCTCTTTGATGAGCCGTTTCTTTGATGGGCGAGGTGCCACACCTGGAGCTTGCGTCGGCTTGATCTTTACCGACTTCGCCTTCGCCACCGTCTCCTCAATCAAGGCCGGCGCTGGGCTCTCCACGGCTCGCGCCAGGCCATGCGCAGCCTCTGGGCTCTCGTCCTGCGCCAGGCTCGGGGAGCGGCGCATCTTTTCGATCCAAGTCGCTAGGCCCTGTTGGTAGGCCTTGTCGTCACTGAGCTCTGCAAAGAAGGAGGCTCTGGAACAGTTTCGCTTGGGCCAGAAGATGTAGGTCGCGAAAAAGTCTCGCTCCTGGCGCTCTAGTGTCACCTGCTCGAAGCTATCCAAGATGGCAAGGATGCAGGTCAGGAAAGAGCTCAACAAGTTCACATTCTGCTCAAACAGTGCATCCAAGTGCTCTTGTTCTTTGCAACGTTGTGCCATGTTCGCGCACATCTCATGCAGAATGTAAAAAAAGACCATGCGCTGGAACTTTGTCCGGGCCAAGTCCAGCTTCATCTGGAATTGGTAGGCAAAGTCTGGGCAAGTAATCTGTCGCTGGACAACTGCATCTTGCAGTTCCCGAGCCTGTCTTCCAATGAAGCCAGGCTCATCTCGTTGCCAGTTCTGGTCAAAGCGGAGCATGTCTCGCAGCGGCCGCTCCACATCATACACCTCTGCCACGCTGCCTTCCGAATCGGATAGTCCCGAAAGGCTCCCCTCGGGCGCCTCGTCACGCCAGCGAGCGCGGCGCGCCAGGGGCTCCTGGCGCAGCTCCTTGGCCCTCCGCTGCATCGCTGCTTCAGCAGCCTCACGTGCGGCTCGGTCGTACGCCAACGCTGCTGCCTTCATGGATGCATCGATCTCCGCGAGGAGTGCCTCGTGCTCTGGCCTTCGAGGGCTCTCGTTCATGCGATCTCGCACAAATTCTTCACGGTCAATCCCGGGCTCCTCCTCGAAGTCAGATTGCTCCTCGTCTTCCGATTCCTCCTTGGTCAGCTTGAACCCACTCTCTAGCCATGTTGGTTGCGCCATGGGCTCAAGAAGTGGATGGACGACCTGTCATCTAAACAGATTCTCGTGAAACCTCTTATGATGTCTTGTGTCCTCATGTCCTTTTGGTACTAATCATTTGTACCATCCCTCGAATGTCAAATCTAAGTGGCATGACATGCTCTTTTCCATGTCCAAAGCTCCAGCGTATCCACGTTAGACAGTTGGCGTGTGGGCACTGTTTTTATGCCAACCCTTGACTCAACTCACAGCTTGAACTTTGAAGACCAAGAGATATTCATGACGATGGATAGTGGTCGAATTCCCTGTCTGCATTCCCATAGTATGTTTGTACCAGCGACTATATGGAGGTCTTTGGGGGGTCTCCATATTGAAATACACACCCAAATGATGCTAAATGCAAGGCCCTCGTCGTTCGCCTACACAAGGTCTCACTGGCCGGTCGGGCCGTAGTCTTAGTACCAGTCGAGTGCCATTGTGTGGCAGTGTACCATGGAAATGACAAACTGAAACCATTGTACATATGTGTTATTATATACGTATGTATATAGTATATTATATACATATGTGTGTATTTATATACACGTGGATATACGTGGTATTATGTGGGTACCTCCAGTTCCCAAAAAAAAGGCAAAAACACACAAAAACGCACTCTGCATGCTGAAGTGGTTTGTCCCAAATGCTTGCGCTGCTCAAAGCAAACACTCGGAAAGGCTCGTATATGCCATGTGGAAGATGGACCTCAAACACAGCAGCCTCACATCCAGTCACATTGCCGGAAAAAAACACTTAAAACTAAACGGTTTTTTGAAACAAAAAGCACATAAAAGGCACTAAAAAACACACACACACACACACACACTTAGCCACAGGTTTTCAGTTAACCATAATCCCTGAGGAAAGGAATGGCTCAACGGAAAGGTGAAGCGTCCAAGCACGTGAAAGGTGTTTCAAAAATTTTTTGCTCACATCTGCAGTAAACAGAAGTTCCAAATGGCTCAGATCAAACTCGCGGCAGGCTGCTGTGGCGCAGCGACACATCAGCTGGAAAAAGGTTTTGGTGTATATCGTGCAAGGACCATGAAACCAACAAGGAACAGCAGGAACATTGGAGTATTGTCATCCGCAGGTACGTCCGGAAAGCGTCCTTTCTGGATATCTCCGCAGTGCGAGGAGTGTCTTCGTTGAGTGGTGACTCCAAGACTGCGCACCGCTCCCCTGCTTGCAATGTGTAGGATCTTGATTTGTGGAGTGGAAACTACACAAAGCGCCGCATAGCGGCGCGCGCTCAGAGGCTCAGAGGCTGCACTGCCGGTGTGCTGACTGCGATGAGTGGAGGGGGTGGGAGATGTGTCAGTGTGTAATGTTCTGAGAGGTCGGTGGAGTGGTCACGTCGCCAGCGGTGACGGCAACTTGGTTGGCAGGTTGAAATTTATTATCAGCGTTTTCTTTGTTGCCCCATCGACCCGGAGTAACAGCGGTCAGACTGACATGTCCCCGGATCGAAAAACAGGCTGGTGGTGTCGATGTGAGTGACGGTGAGAGGAGAGAAGAGGAGAGAAGAGGAGAGAAGAGGAGAGAAGAGGAGAGGAGAGGAGAGGAGAGGAGAGGAGAGGAGAGGAGAGGAG